AAAAACATGAAGTGGAGTCAACACGGAACGAACTCAACTCTTTAGGCAGTGAGAGATTAGATGCTGCAGGTCTCAGTGGTTTTATTTAACATGAAGACATGTTCATACTAAATTTAGAAATTAATTTGGAACTGGTGAAATAGGCACTTAAGAGCAGGGCTTTATTTTTGGCAATGTTTGTTTTAGGGTAGCATTTTAGCTATTTGCAGTTTAGTTGACTTGTCAATGTTTTTGTAACTACCCATACTTAATTTTAGACATATATGAAATAATTGCAAATCAATATAAATAGCTCACTGTTGATACTCTAGGGTAAACTTTCACAGGCTATTTTAGACAAAAGCAATTCTTACAAAACAACAATTTGGGAATTAGTCTCAGAATTGCTTGGACTTTTCTAGTGCATTTGCCTTATTGCTATGTATATAAGTTGCCTAAAAACTTGAGTTGAATAATTAAGGCAATTATGTTAATAATTCAGACCCCATGACATTCAGAACACAGAAAAAAATAATCTAATATTTCTGGTTCCTTCTTTCTCTCTCTCTCTTTTTTGTTATTTCCTTCAACCCCTTCTCTTCTTTGTCATGAGTGCCCACAGCTTGTGGTAACAAGATTGATTTTACCCGTATTTGTCCATAAGTTTTGCAATCCTGCCTGACAGCTCTTGCTTAATGTGGAAGCAAAGCAAACGTTCTCCTTATGCCGGCTTCGTTTCCAGCCATCGGGCACAGCCAGGCTCCCGGGCCATTGCCATGGTTCCCAAAGAGCCCTTTACTTATGCTCACGTGGTTCATCTCTCACCCTCGACCCTGGTGGCTCTGGCAAAAAATGAGAACTGAATCAATGTCATGACTTTCTGAATTTCTCAGAATTCAAGATAACTCTGAACCCCTTGTCTGCTCCTCTAAGAGACCCTGCATCTGAAACACCCCCATGAAATCCAGAGGACAATTCACAATCAAAGTAAAGATACTGGAGGAACTCATACTGAGAAATAAGCTTTTGAGGAGAAAGCTTCTTCTTCTGTTGTACCAACCAGCAGAGTCCTTTCCTCTCCAGAATGGCCTGGACACTTAATAGAAAAAAATAGATTGCCATAAGCACTAAAAAAAATATTAATTCTGTTTTCCACTTAAGCCAACCTCTTTCACTGGAAAGTTCTATATTTTCTGATCCTATTTCCCCATACACAGGCTTTTCTTGAAATATATTTAATTGACTGGAGTGGAAAACTACCATAAACCAAGGGCAAGGATACCCAGGCTGGAAAGACTTTGGGTTTGCTGTAGTTTGGCCCGAAGTCCTCAAGGAAATTCTCTAGTCATCTATGTGACATGGTTTGCTGTCATTTACAGTGACCCACAGACTTGCTGTTCTTCAAAACAGCTGACCTGTTACAATGGTGATGCTTTTGCTTAATACATTTATTGGCAAATTTTGAAATAAGAAAATTAGTATAGAACATCCTATTTTGCACATCAATTTGCCAGCTACAAGATTGCATACATGATGCATTATTACAAATTTAGTCACATTTATATGACTCAAAAGTGCCAGCCATTAAAAAGAATGCTTCTCTGTTCCTATGTAACGCAAAAAATTATTTCGTAAAGGCAGTGAACACTCAATAATTTACCTTTTCAGTAAATTCTCACTTTCTTGACATACCTGTAATCACTACTGAAATGCATGCAAAAGTGAAGGGTAGTTAGGATGGGTGGACAAGGTGGGACAACTGTCCTCCACACCCCCCCCATATACACACACAGCACACACCCCACACACAACAAGCACACCCTTACGCACTCACTCATGCTTACACACACACATACACAAATCAATTTTAATTATCCAATCTGTTGAAAGTAGTTTTGTGACCTGAAATCCTGAGATACTTCAGTTATCCCCTTTGAGCATGTATAGATTATAGAACCCAAGCTCCTGTACTGTATTTGGAAGTGGTTTTTCTTCTATTCTAATTTTCCTTTTTTTAAAAAAATTTTCTCTAGGCATCACATAGAGAAAGCCTGGAATTCATGCTTGTAAAAAGGAAAAATGTGATAAAAATTGAGATGCTCATTAAATTCTACACCCTGCAGCCGGATTTGTGCACCTTTCTCCTTAACGTGGGGCATATGATTTCCACTTTGCTCAACTTTCTGGGTTTTAAATTCTCTATTACTTTACTCTGGCTCTCTTATTCAAAGTGCAAAATGCCAATTTTTTAGATTTAACTCTTTTTGTTTAAAACCTGTATGACCACACTACTATATTTAAGTAGTTATAGAGTGTGTTTCAAACCTCTTTTAATTTCAGTGCAATAACTGATGTTAAATAGGGAAAAAACCCCACAATTGAATATTTTTCATAGCCATATATATAAAAATATTGACTCATAATAAACTGTAACTTATAAGCATTTTCCTTAAGATAAAAATCCTCAAACTTTATGTAGTTCCCCTGGTCAAGTCAACATTTACTGCGTCCCTGCTATGTGAAAAGAACTATGCTAAAGCATCTTGAATGATGAAGAGATGAATAAGGTGCAGCCACAGCCTTCAAAAAGCTCCAATGGCAGAGACACATGAGCCATGAATTACAGAATGTCTTAGAACAGAAGTGTTACCATAGCATAAAAAAGGAGCAATTACACCAATTTTCTAAAAAATTCGGATGTCTTTGCAGAGGAGAAAAATTTGTGTTGCACCCTGAGAGCTTAAAAAGAATAATTTTGGTTACATGGTGAAAAGAAAGGGACTGCAGACTGAGAAATTTGCTTTGATTTCCCCCACGAATTATCCTAGTTAATGATCAATTTGTAAGAGCAAATGTACCAATTTAACTGTAGTTTCTGACAATTAGCTTTTAAAGTGAATTGCATTGCCTTCATTTAGATGCATTTAAAAATGCCTTTTAAAAAGAATTGCCTTTCCTCTTTTTCTCTCTTTCTGTCTCTGTTTCTCAAATTTGCTTTTATACAAGAATACAGTTACCTCAGTCAGGCTTTACTGCAGTGGATTATTGCTAAAACTGTGTAAATTATTGTGTGTTTCTCGTATCTTTTGTCTTAGATCTCAATTAAAATACATGAGTATTCAGTACTAATAAGTGAAAAGCCGACCTTACTATTGTTAAAAAAAAAAAAATCACCTTTTAAAGCAGCACTCAGGCTTTTAGTTCTGCTTTCGCTGAGCCTCTTCTTTTTCATTCCCCTTTAAAGTTTCTATTTAAACACACCTCTCTGTCATATGCTGATAAATATTAAAATAACAGGAAAAATCTGCCTGACTCATTTAAACTGATAATAAGAACAAAACACAGGATGTGTGTGTCCTCCTTCCTTTTCTGACCATGTTTAAGCGTTAAGAAGATTTTGAAACCTATAATTACGTAATAATTGGGTATCACTATACTCTCTTCCCAATGAAAAACCAGGATTTTTTGTAGTTTGCCACAAAGACAGATGCAAACAAATTGCCTAAGTGGTATTGTCCGCCTTTGTTCCATTGTTTTAAAAAAACTCAGCAAAGACTCTAGCTGCCAACCTGTAGTTACTGTGCCAATAATCACAAAATGATCTTTCAGACAGCATCTTTGGTTAATGAGCTAATAATATATACAATCATAAATATCACATTTCTCCTAATGTCTGTCAATATTTATTACAAGAAAATGAAAACATAGTTTAAATATTCAAACTGATTCAAATTTATGATACGTCTTAGTAAATTTGGCCAACAGAAACATGAGCACCGGCATCTCACTGGTAGGCCAGTATGACGAAAGGATAGTAGTTTCAAAACCACCTCCTTTGATCTCCAAGTATGTAACACCAGCATTATGTTAAAACACTCTATCTAGTTTCTTTTTATAAACTTCTAAAGGAAACAGTACATCAGCAAACCAGGTTTTTGAAGTCCATGGATGCAGCACACTTTTCTTCTAATTCATATGGCACTCTAGAGGTAAACTGTACCTAGTATCTTCCTCTTTCACTTCTTCTCTTGTTCTCAGTCTTTTTCACATAAAAATATTTTTTAAAGTGTGTACTATAACTATTTTAGAAGCCAACATACCAATGGAAGCTAATGCCTTTGTTCCCTTCTTTTGAAAGAGAACACAACCTCTGTGCGAGGAAGATCCTGAGGATAAAGTGAAGGGAACAGCACTGCTGGAAACCTGGAAGTGTAGGAGGCAATGGTAGGTGTTAGGTGATCTCACTATGAGTTCATCTTACTTGTTTCTTCTGTGGTTTTACTTGAGACTACTGCTACTCTAGCAGGGTCAGGTCAAGGGGGAAAAGACCCTATTTTGCCCTTAAAAAATGTCCCCTTCCTGCTTGCATCTTATGTCAAAATAGAATTTATTTTCACTACATCTCTATGTTGTTCCTTCAAGGTGGCCCTTCCTCTCTGCACACCGCTCTCAACTCATGAAACGCACTGGCACAGTACCGGAAGATGAGAGGTTAGGTTTCTTTAAAACAACACCTTTGAGAGAAAAAATTGGATGACCTCCAAAAGGAATGATTTGTGACCTGGAAAGAGCCTTTGGTTTCACACCTGGAAAGAATGTATATTCAAGGGGGATCTATGGTTGACGCTAAGAGGAAAACCACTAACGTAGCCTGTGGGGCCCTCAGGCCAACATGGGGGCACCTCGGGGCCTTTGAAGTTAGCCCTCCTGGAGTTCCCTGGGGCCAGCAAGCTGAGGTCCAGTTGCACTATTGATACAGCTCTTCCTCCTGCTCCTTTTCTGGGAAGCAGCATTACCACTCATCCAGCACATTGCGAAAGCTTGGGCATACATATGATGGGAAAGTCATTTGATACTGCTTTTTATTTGGTTTCACACAGAATGAAATAAAGCTCCAGTATGCTTTTGAAAAAAGTCATCCTTTTGAGGGCCATGGTATGCAAACAAATGCTACTATTCCAAAAAAGATTCTGCATAAGAGGCACACATTATATATGGAGATAGGCCACGATAAGGCTTACCTTGCAGGTTGACTCTGGAGACAGAAGGCTGACTAGCAGCTGGGGACCTCCTGTGGAGACAGAGAGAAAAGAAGGCCTGAGCCTTTGTACTGATATCCTCTCCCTGCCTCCCCAGGATCACTGAGTTTTCCAAGTCACAATAAGCCATCAAGTGACATAATGCTTTCTCCGGAAGGCAGGCTCCTGTAACATGCGTAGATGATTGCAATTCTCTCACATCCAGATGGCCTGGAATTTCCCTATGCACAGCCTCCTGGATGCTCCAGCACTCCAGGAAGGAAATCGTTTACTCCAGGTCCCTAACCTGCTCCTCTGTTTTAGGTTTCCCTGTTCCAAGAGGCCCTCAGAAGAGGATATCCTTGCTCAGGAATGATACCAAATGTGAGACTGAATCCCAGCACCAGTGCTGTAGAAAGTTATAGTCAGAGGAGTCCTCAGAGATCAATCAGTCCAGGCCTTCCATTTTTGTACCTCATCAACCTGAGGTCCAGAGAGGTAAAGGCACTTGCCAAAGGTCACACAGTCACTAGAAAAGGTAATCTAGGTTGCTTAATTTACAGAGAGGCCTTTTCGTGGAGAAACTGGGCATTATTTTACATCATAACAAACCTGTTGATGTCAAGAGTCAAATGAAAGAAGCAAACTCACAAATACTGGGCCTGCTTCTCCTTTTCTCTCTTGTTTTTCTCTGTGTCTTCTTTATCAACCCCTACATACCCACCCACCCATCCTCCACCAAGGCCAATTTTGCTGCTCTCATCATCCTTCTCATGCTTTGCAGAACTCTCTTGGCTCACCAATGCAGTGCTGGAGAAGCTCCCAGAGATGGTACAGAGCAGTAGCCTTTAAAACTGAGTACATCAGGATCACCTGGAGGCTTACTGAGACATTGTTGGATCTACCTTCAGGGTTTCTGATTCAGTCAGCTTGCAGGGGGTGAAGGTAGGGTAGCAGACCAGGGGAGAGGTGGGGAGCTTGAGAGTTTGCATTTTTGACTAGAGCCCAGGTACTGATCTTGCTTGATTTGCGGATCACATTTTCAAAACCACTGGTGCAGAGGACTCTTTTTTTTCCTCCTAAAGATCAACAGGATATTAGCAACAAGCAAGAGAGTGTGACTCTAGGCCAGTGGGTCTCTAAACGTGGAACCCATCTGCTCACTTGGGCAGCCAGGACAATTATAAATCCCTTCCCTATCCCTGAAGAGTCAATTTCAGTATATTTTGGATGAGGCCTGGGAATCTGCATTTTTTATTTCTCTGTGAATTCTGATGTACAGGCAAGTTTGGGAAGGAGGCCAAACTCTAAATGATAGAGGATGGCCTGCACAGGTACTGAGGAGGCAAATTCTCCCTATAGGTGTGGCCACATAGTTATTTTTCTAGGTTTTTATTAAGTGCTCCAAATTCAGTTTTGGTCCCTTATGGGTAATCTAGTTTCTAAGTAACTATATTTTATGGCTGCAAGTTCTGATGGACACGGTTCACATCTATCACATTTATTACCTAGGTGATCCTAGGCAAGGTACTTTTAAACCCTCTGTGGCATGAGATTTGCATGTGTGACAAGGGAAGGGAAATTTCTGTACAATGCTTGCTTTGTTCTACTAGGTAGACACTGTGCTATGTACTTCTAGCTTCCACTGGGAACATTATTATCTCATCTTAAGGATAAAGCAACTGAGACTCAGAGAAGTTAAGAAACATGTATATGTGGTTTATAACTAGCATAGCTGGGATTCAAAGCTAAGTCATTCCAAATCCAAAATACATGCACATTCCACTATTCTATCTGTTAACACCTGCACTCAAACTGAGGGCTATTTTTTAGGAAAATTAAGAGATTAAATTTCAAACTCCTTAACCTGGCATTCAAAGTCCTTTGCTTTTTGTCCTCAGCATGATTTTCCCAGTTTATCTCTCAAAATCCCTCCCTGTCTGACATTTCATTTCAAACCACTGATGGGCTGTTTGTGCTTTTGAGTCTTGTACTTCACTTTAGTAGCACTTTAACATTGTAATTAAAATAGGCACAGTCCAATTACTGTTTAATATATAGCACTCCTTTATTTAAATGTAAACTGAAAGCAGGCAGGGAGCAACTTGTTCACTACTGGCTCCCTAAAACCAGAATGGTCTTTCACATGCTAAGCACTCGGTAAATACTGAGTGAACGAATGAATGAATGAACTAACTCAGACATTGCTATGGCCAAATTTCATCACTTTCTTGTTCTTGAACATGTGCCTTCCCTTTCCTGCCACTGCTCAGATCATTACTTTGAAAGGAAAGCTATCCCTGCACAAATTCACACATCTAAATACCATCTAATCCTTCTGTGATGTATAATAAGAAATACAAATTTGGTCTTCCTCTTGTTGCCCTCTGAAATTTTCTAAGTGAGAAGAGTGATAAAGGTGTTTTTTGTTTTCTTAATAGATGAATTTTGGAAAAATCCCTGGGACTGGTTGCCAGAGGAACCAACCTTGTGATTTGCAATTTGGAACTTTCAGCCCCACCCCAGATCTCAGGGGAAGGGAAAAGGTCTGGAGATTGTGTTCAATCACTAATGGCCAATGATTGAATGAATCATGCTTTTGTTCTGAAGCCTTCATAAAAACCCGAAGGGATTGGGTTCGTAAACCTGTGGAGACTGGCACACTCGGACAGCATGGAAGCTCTATGCTCCTTCCCACATATCTTGTCCAATGTAGTTTTTTCATCTGCCTATTCCCAAGTTATATCCTTTTCTGATAAACCAGTAATCCAGTAAGTAAAATGTTGTGGGTTTTTTTTTAGTTTTGTGAGCCACTCTCGCAAATTAATCAAACACAAGGAATCTCTGATCTAGAACCAGGAGGTCAGAAGCACAGGTGGCAACATGGATTTTTGTTGGGCATCTGAAATGGGGGGTAGGGAAAGTTTTGAAGGACTGAGCCTTTAACTCGTGGGATCTGATAACTATCTTCAGGTAAACAGTGTCAGAATTGAGTTGAATAGTGAGATGCCCAGCTGTTATCATGCAGAATTGCTCTGAGGTAATGGGAAAATCCCCATACATTAAAATTTGTGTCTGAATCATACTTCCAAAGGTCAAATGCCATCTTCTCCAAAGGATGTCATCCTCTTAGCTAGAAATGATCTTCCCTATAGTCTCCCATGGTACTTTATTTGTAGCTTCAGAATCATTTCCTCCTATTACAACTCATATGGGCACGTATTATCCTGACCACTAACCTGTGGCTCATTGATGGCAGAATCCAGTTCTGACCCTTTCCATATAACCTCTGCAGAACCCACCAACTTGCTTCTCAAATAGGAGGCACTCCATAAACACTGGTAAATTGTGGATTGAATAAAACATTGATGTGAAAATGATTTGAGGAACCAAATATATGAATGTTTTATCTGGTTTCCTTTTTCCTGTAGAGACTTGGCTCTACATTCTACTGGCTGTTCCTCAAACACAGCACACAACTTATGTTGCTGGGCCCTTGCCTATGTTTAGGTCAGCTGAACGCTTTCCCCTGACTCTTTAAGTGGCAAACTCCTTCACATGATCTGGGACTCCAATCAGGCATCACCTCCTTGGGTAGACTTCCCCCCACGTAGAGTCTTTGTTTGTGCTACCTGTAGTTTCCTTTGCTTGCCCCATCATAGCACTGCTCATGCTAGATTGCAATCCCCATTTTCCTGGCTGTTTTCTCAACTCACCTGTAGGAAATGTAAGCAAAAGTTGCATCCTGTTCATCTTTCTAACCTTGGAATCAGCAAAATATTTGGTATGATATAGGTGTTCATTATGTTTTCTTTGGATTAATACATGTTTATAATAAATAATTTTATTTTACCCACCTTTGTGAATTCCAAAGAACGCTTTGTAAAAGGAGATGTTGAAATGGAAAATGCTAAATGTTGGCAACTTCTTCTTTCTAAATAGCATGGCTACTCATAGCATCTAATTCTCCCAATGGCTTCCTGAAAATTACAAAAATTACATAACTTTGTCCTGGGAGTTAATTAAAAAAAAAATAGTTTTCAGATAAGCATCTGTGTACATAAGCTGAAAAAAGGCAAGAACCATGTTTATTTGGGTTATCATTTAGGCCCAGTACAAAGAAGAGGCTCAATACATTTTAAATGAATGAACTTGATACATAAATGACTTATAGAAGCTACATTATGGATGATAGGGCTTGAGAGTGCCAATTAGAAACCAGTGATTGCCAGAAGAAAATGGCATTGGCTGTTCAGTTTCCAATGGTCCTTAACTTATGGAAGAACCATACAAAGTTATGTGCCTGGGTTGCTAAAGACAGTGATAATGATAGGGAGGTAATACAGTCCCAGCAATAAATAATTTCCAGCCCTGAAGGACACAGTGGAGAAAGAACTGAACCATGAATAATAAGACAGGAATCCTAAACCTGGCTCTGGCTCCTTCCAACTGTATAGCCGTGGGCAACCCACTGAAACTCTCAGTTTCTTCCTCACTTGGGAGAGCAGGCAGCAACTAACATTTACTGTGGATTTACAATGTGCCAGGTCCTGTGTGAGGGTTTTAAATGTATATTTCCTCACTTACTCTGAGGAAATTTGGCTAGGTTCTTTCCAACTCTGAATGTGCAAAATTTTATTATTCTCGGCTAATTTAAATCCCATGCCAAAATACATAAAGCAATGAAAGACACTTTAGATATACACTGAACAAAAATTAAGTGGTTGTTAATTCTTTCTCAAAGATTGCACACATGTTGCTGAATTATGCCCTGGAAGAATGTTAATATGGAGATGTCACATGATTTCCTTCTAGCCCCTGGTGATTGATGTCTGTGAGGTTAGTGACATAGATGAGTGATGGGGACACCACTTTGCTCCCAGCTCTACTCCCCGGTCATCAGGACGGCAGGCACTCTCACTGACTCATGTGATTTCCCCACCAGTCTGCTTGAAGGCGGTAATGCTTTAGGGACACTTATCTGAATTAACAACTCTAAAGGAAAGCCATATTTTCAACAGCAACTCCTGGGACAAAGGAAATATAGGTTTTAATTTGAAGCCAAGAAATACAGGCCCGATCAAGCATTCCTCAGTGGAACATTTCATGGAAGTACAAGGAATTCACCTCAACAGGAACTTTGAGATTTTCACCCTTTGGGTGGTAAAGCTCAGGCAGACAATGGAATGCTTTTATGCAGAGCAAAGAGCCAAAAGATAAAGGAAATCTTGACTTATGAGAAGTATAGTTCTATGTGGGAGTTCCTTCTCAGATAATAAACCACACTCCAGATAACTTGCGAAAACCACTCCAAGGGCATATTCTTGCTTAAATGTTACATCCAAAATAAAGGGGTAGCACTCTGGAACCCAAGTCAAATATCTCAGAAAGCAATTCTTTATTTCCATGGATATTACATGTTCAGTTGCTAAGATAAGTGAATATGTGGGGTGAGGGGCTATGGGAATGCTCTCAGTATAGTGGATCCATCCCTGGCAGATATGCTTGCCTTCAGTTTCTTTTATCAGTTTGAGGGCATTGATGACTAAGAATAGAACACAGTGCTTTATGGACTCTGCCTTGAAACTTCTATTGGTTCGTGTTGGTTTCAAGGAAGTGCTTGAAATCAATAAGAGGATCAACTCTGTACAAATATGCATATGGATTTGAGAAAGATCATTAGCAATGATCTTACTGCTGGGCATTTATTCTATTTGGTGAATGTGGTTTGGTTGGGACCAAAGATGACATAAAAAGCCATGGTTTGAGGGGGTGGTCCTCAGCCAGATTATGAGAACAGGCTCTGGATATGTCCGTTATGGTCTGAGGGTACATAGTTCCTGAAAGTTAACACAGCTCAAAATGCGCAAGACAGACCTGATTCTCAAGAAAGTAGCTTCAACTGACATAGTCTATTAATTAGCAGAGTTAGGCTGAATGTCCCAATACTAAGAACATCCAAGCTATGTGCTAACAAACTAATAACTGAAAACAAATATCTGTTGGATCCCTGCCTCACCCCCTTCACCCACCTCCATCCTGGCTCCCTGGAGCTATGTAATGAAGTGATCTTGAGTACTGATTTGCTAATAAGTCTTTGAAAAATGCCCTTATTGACCCTTTCTTCCCCAATTCCAACCCTCATAATCTTGGTCCAGGGCAACACTCCTCGTATTTTAATTCCTGACAATACTCTCATAGCTCATATTTCTGCCTTCAGGCTCTCTGAACTTCATATATTCATAAGTTATTCCTAATGATTCTCTGTTCCAAAGTCTTCAGAATTTTTTTCCCATGACCCAGAAGATTTAACAGAGGTAGTGAATGGAAAGAGCGCTGCAATGAGAGTCAGGATACCAGGTTTACAGTGTGACCCTGCTATTCATCAGAAGCAGTATGTTCTTGGACAAGTCATTTAATCTCCCTGAGCTTTGTTTCTTCATCCATAGAGTGAGGGGCAACAATATCTGTCATGAATATCTGTCATTTATGGTGATTGAAACTGAGGTAATGATTGTGAAACCCCAAAGTGTTACATTGTTCCTGGACTTAGAGAGAGGAATATAACTACCAATTATGATAGCTCACATTTATTCAGCATCTACTATATGCAAGATGCTGTTATAAATGTATTACAAGTGTCAACTCATTCAGTCCTCAAGAACAACCCTATTTTACTGAAGGGGAATAGATGTAGAGAGATTAATTTGCCCAAGTCACATAGCTTTCAAGTGGTAGAATTGGGTTATGAAGCCAGTAAGTATGGCCCCACAGGCTATAATCTATAAAGAAAAAAAAGATAGGAAAATAAAAGTTATCACTTCTGAAAAAGTAATTTCCTAATTAATTGGTGGTCTTTCTTCAATAATAATATATTGAGAATTCATATGTATGATGACTGTTTATGGGTCTCTCACTGTGTGTCAGGGACTCTGCTAATTCTTGGAAATTTAAGGAAAAGTAAATGTAATTCTCAAGAGACCCCAAGGAGCACATTGTCCAGTGGTGGATGGAGATCTATGAATGGCATGATAAGGTTGGCAGAGTGGTCTGGGGCCACTGAGGGTGCTCAGCCTGTCTTCGTAGGGTCAGGAAAAGCATCCTGGTGAAGGCGATTCTAGAGCTGAGTTACAAAGGACAAGCAGGCTTTAGCCAGGCAATCAGTGGCAGGTGGAGAGAGACATTTTAGGAAGAGAAAACAGTAAGTCCAGAATCAGGGTGGAAAATAGAACATGCTGGGAACAGCCAGACCACGGCTATTAGAATGTGATCCCATATGGCCAGAGACCTGGTCCGATTGTCCACCACTGTATGCCATGGAACTTCTTATTACAATGCAAGTCCTGAAAGGGCAGAGAACTCATATGTTTTGGTCACTATTGTATCATTAGTAATTGGTACAAAGTGGGTGCTCAATAGATATTTCTTAGATACATACATATACTCATGGATGAATAGTTTTACTAAATAAATACTTTTTGGGTGAATTATGTAATAAAAGACTAAACACAATGTACCACTGCAAAAGAGGTTGTACAAACCTCTAGCTTTCACATGTATTGTGTCAAATGTAAACCAAAACATCTATCGATCAAACTAACTTGAGCTCGGTCATGATGGGTCTTGGGACCGAAGTGTTCACATTTAAACTCTCTCCGAATGATTAGAGTGAATCATTGAAATGCCTCAAGCTGGAGAGTGACATGGTCAAACAGCATGTGAGAAAAACCACTCTGGTGGCAGTTTGAGGAATAGTGTAGAGAAGAGGACAATGATGGAAAAGATTCCATTGGAATATGCAGAGCTCTCGTGGGAGGCTCTGTGTGTAACAAGTTATAAAATAGTGAAATACAAAGTAAGTTTTTAAAGCAGGGTTTACTCTTACTTTTAACAATTCCACATCATGAAAATGTGGATCAAAGCAAAATAGAGGGTTGATGAATAATTTTGCAAAGACGGAAGAGACATGGTGTTTTATAGCCAACACTGGCTGGAAAAATCAGGAGATTTGGGATTTGGCCCTGGTGTGTCTATAATCTATGATGTGGTTGTTAGTGTCTGGGTTTCTACTGTAAAATGAAGAGGTTGAATCAATGGTTTCAAAGGTCTCTCCTTCAACCCTGTTATTCTAGGACCATGAATTCTATGGCCTTGTGAGCCCTATGATGACCTTTTAAAATACTGGACAGTGAACTGGACATAGCATCTAGACTCATAGGGTGAAATGATTTGGGGGCAAAAGTTTCTGTAGGAATATCAAGTTCAAAGCCTCAGTTTTACAGATGAGGAGACCAAGGTTCAGCAATATTAACTGAAATGACTGAGGTTATGTAGTTAGTTAGGGGGAAAGGAGAAAATAATCAAACTGAATGAACCTGTTTATTTATTATCAAAACAATTAAGCTACTTGGACATGAACTTTTTGGTACCTTTAACCTTAAGTTTGAATCTCTGGATTCATTAATAACTTTTCCAAAAGAATTTTAATAGAATTTATGGCTGTTACTGATAAGTATTCATACTTTCCAAAGTGGTAAATATAAAATTCAACAAAAATTCTCATTTGATTTTTTCATTTGTTGGACTCCTCCTGTCTACTAAGCATTAAGGGTACAGGGATAAACAAGATTAAGACTAATTTCTAACATTTTACCAGTTTTAACATACTATGGTACTCCATCCTATTTTCAAATTTCATCATGTATCTTAATTTAGCTTAGATGGCAAATTTCCATGAAATAGTGTTTTTTTGTTGTTGTTGTTTTGTTTTTTAATGCCGTTCAATGGTTTTGCCTTTATGACAGGGATTCATAATTCCACAAAAAGTCCATGCTTACTTGTTGGCTGTTCCATGAAGATTTGTCAATATAGTGAAGTTGTTTCTCACACTTCGCAAGCTGGCAAGGACCTATAAGAAAAACGATTCAAATGTTTAGAAACAATAGAAGATGAATGGGAGGGTTCAGAAACTACACTTAGAAACTACGCCCAGGGACAGAGTGAGAATTAGCTGGGGCCAGCATGATACGTACCTGGGCAAAAGGCGTAACAATCAAGTCATCGCCGTGTCTGGTGAAAAGAGAGAAAAGAAACATTTAAAAATACATTTGAATTACAACTGTGACATATAAGCTGTAATATTAAACCTTGTCGGTGTTAGCAACACAAATGTTATACAAGTCCTCCTACCTTTATATAAGGCAGGACGGATTTAAGCCTAAGTGGGGATCTCAGGAACTTTAAGGAAAAAAAAAACAACAACAAAAGACTACCAATTCATGGCTCCTAGATTTACAGTGACTACACATAAAAGCATTTGCAAGAAAGCATATATCCTGAGGGTATATTCCCATTAACTAGCAGACCCAGAGTAATTCAAAGCGACTTGTGGATTTGGGTCGCCAGAGCCAGGAAATTCAAAGGGAGGGCGGCTCACAGGCACATACTTAGTTGGAAAAAACGGCCTAACAGTCTGGATAAAGGTTAACTTTGGATTTCCTGGCTTTTGTTGATTTGAACCACAGCCTTAATGCCATTTAAACACAGATTTCTGCCTGCAAATCCCATTACTTTTTGTTTTTAATATAACTTTTTTTTCTTAAAGTACCCAGGGAAAAGCTTTTAATGGGAGTGTATGGACTGAACCTACTATTACCATATCATTGTTGCTCATTTTGTCCCAAGGATCTGAGTAAGCTGTGCTAGTGTTATGGAAATACATACTTAGGAAACATCAAAAGTGTGTTTTTAGAAATGTATTCTCTCTGGCACATGTTTTGATGATAAATCTACTTACGCTCACATACAGCCAACTCTCCCTAAAAGTCATTAGAAGACACAGTGGCCTGGGCTGCACACTCAAAATTAGGCCAATTTGCTATCATAGTGTATATCGTAACAGCCACACAGAACTTGGTTGCTGATGAGCTTCCTTCACTGACTGATCCAGCTTCTCTGTCCTCATGGTCACCATATAAATATGGCACTGCATTTGTTAGTCACATGAATGCAACCAGTAGTTATTAAGCACCTGCCCATTACCAGGCATTGTGTGAGGCCTAGGGATCCAGAGTAGCACACTGATGAACGTGAGGCCTCTTCTCTAACACAGGCTCCTACTTAGGGGTCTTATATAATATAATATTTTCCTTTCTACCTTTGCCTTTAGCTAGAAGTCCCACTTCAACTCAACTGAGTAAATTTGTGCAATAACTTCGTACTGTGACTATGAAAATAATACTGACAAGCATAAGCATACTTTTCATGATTAACGTATGTGAGGCCCTGTCTTAAGCACTTCATGTGCATTATCTTTTTAAAAATGTTTGCAAAGAGACTTAAGGCAGGTACTCTTAATATACCCATTTTATACATAAGATCAAGGCTCAAAGGAGTTAAACAACTGCTTGACTAGTACATAACTAATAAGTGAAAAAAACTTAGAACTCTTTGATTCCAAAAATCTGTGTTTTTTAAAAAATACTCATCTGAGGATATGTTTTCATTGATTTTTTTTAGGGGTTGAGGGAAAGAGAGAGAAACATCTAGTCGGTTGCCGCCTGTGTGTGCTCTCATCAGGACTGGAACCTGCAACGTAGGCATGTTCTGTGACTGGGGATCAATCGAACGCTCAGACTTTCTGTGCACAGGATGACGTTCCTCCCAACTGAGCCACATGGCTAGGGTCAAAAGTCTGTGGGTTTTTGGGTTTTTTTTCCATTTTTTGATATATTATTGTTCCTATGCTATTACAGATGTCCCATTTTTCCCCCTTTGTCCCCTCTACCCAGACTGCCCCCCACTTCCAAAGTCAATTAAAAGTCTGTGCTTTTAATCATTATGTTTCCAATTTTTACAATGACTCTGCATAATGGACAGATCAAATAGACAGAATCCATGCCCCCTTCCCTGCCAAAACAATGACAACATAGTAATGGAGACAGAAAAGTATTCAAAACAGCAAAACACTGCAATAGTATAAATTGTGTTTCCACTGGATAGTATAAATACGAAATGAGAAATACAAACACGGATACTTAACGGGGTGTGAAGGAGAGGTGGTAATTACAGATCAGAGGAAATAGAAAATGCTTTATTGAATGGGTGGTGTGTAAGATGAACTTTTAAGGTCAAGCTTTAAATGGTGCGGATGGCAGATGCTACCAATGAGAGAAATTGCCAGAACAAAGGCACTGAAATGGGAAAATACTGAACATGCTCACTGAGATGCTTGGTGGCTGTTTGGGTGGAGCTGAGCACATTAACTACAGACATTTGTAGAGAGTAAGACTGGAAATTCCCCCATGCCCATATTCGCCAGTAGTATCGACAATGGTGTGGAGTTGGTACTTAACTCAGCAGCAAGACATGAACCAGTAAAGGTTTATAGTGAGATAGGCAAACAGAAAATTGTTTTAGAAAGTAAAATGCTAGGGAAACTGAGGGATAAATTGAAGAGAAGATACAATCTGGAAAAGTTAGGAGGATATTGCAGTCATTCAGATGAGAAGAAATAAGTGAGGCAGAGGAAAAAATAGGAAAAGACCCTAAACGTCTTGCCAAGGGTTGGCCCTTTAATTGGGTAAGAGGTCATAAAAATATTATTTGCAGTTTTAAAAATGGGTATCTGGGAAAATAGTGAAGTGATGAGTAGAAATAAGAAAGTGAGGAGGAGCTGGGAGAGATGTGTCACTTTCCCACATGCTGAGTTTTAGGGTATTTGCAGGAAGACTGAAATGTGGGAATTAGAGCTATAGATTTAGGAGTGACCTACCACAGTGGGGATTGTTAAACCAATGGCAGGAGATGGCTTCTTGAGGTGGGGGGCATATGGAGAGAGCACCAAAGGGGGGGGTCTGCAGGGTTCTTGGAGAGGAGCCAAGAAAAGAGACTGACTGAAGAGCCAACTGAGGAGCAACTGTGATAAATGTAAGGTGCTGAACTGTATCTAGAACTACCCCTCTCCAAGCTGTTTTCTTGAGATGAACTTTAGATGGGGGAAATATCTTGCTACTCATATTTCTGCTGTGAAATTCACACTGTTCTTAAGACATCAGGGTGAGCTGGAGATAAGGTAATGGGGTTAGCGTTAAGTAACTCATCAATGGCTCCTGGATTTCTGCAGTCTAAATACTCCACAAAAGCTAAATTATATAAGCAAATCTCACACATGTGTAGCACCTAAAGATGATATATTGTCCCATAATGGGGAATTACTAAAACTGCACAAACTAAGGATTAAAGGGAGGTAAACAAATTTAAGAGAGTACCGTGTCCACATGACTACTGTTACAGAACTTTTGAAGTTTAGAGAATAGAACATTCAGAAGCAGGAGATGGACTTGCAGACCCCCAGTGCAGGCTCTCTTAAAGGGGTTTGAGCTGCAAAAGCTAATGCTGCATGTCAACAGCCGCTAGAGAAATGAAGAGATAATTTATAGTAATTTAATAGGTAATTTATAGCAAGTACAGGGAAAAAAAAAACCCAAAATGAAAAACTCATATTTGAATACAGCTGGATAATTTATGAAACTACTCTAAATTTTTAAATCAGAATTTGATATGTTAATCAATAAGAATAAAATGGCATGGAAATAACAAACCACTTAAATTGGTTATGAAAGGCAATGTACTTAGTTTCCCAAACCACTAGAGAGGGCAGTGACTCTCAGAGTTCCGATACTCAGAACCACGGCACGAGCATCATCTAGTGACAAAACCAGCACATTACAATTTGATAGAATTGGAGATGAGAATGCAGGGTCTTAGAAGTGAGTGTAGGTCTACTTTAAGCAATGACATATTTCTCTAGAAAACAAAACTGCTACTTCCTACTGTTACGTTCTAGATTTTATTAATTTCACCCCTCTCCGTTTCATACCTACACATAGAATTTTACTTGAATTTTTCTTGCATCATTGATTTTAATCTGTCTTATGGAGAGACACACACTTTATAGTTAAGAGCACAGGTTTTGGACCAGAGAGCATTGGTTTGTTTCTCAGTGGCACTATTGCTAACTAAGAAACCTCAGGAAACCTCAGGAAACCTCTTTATGATCTCCATTTCTTCATCTGTAAAGTGAGGTATAACTCTGACTATACTGCTTGGCACATAAAAGCTTTTTAGTTATTTAGTTATAGTTATTTTTATTAGTAGTAGGCATCAGTCTTATTATACTTGAACAATTCCAAGTCTGTCTTCTCAGCTGGTGAGGACTTCTTTAGGGTGTACTTTACAGTTTACAAAGCATTTTCATATACATTACTTTATGTGATAAGAGCATGTTCTTGACCTTTGACCCATCTTGTTGATCAAGACTGAATCCTCACAGTCCACCACCAACCTCAGCTCAGCTGACCTTGAAAATATTTATTAACTGTCAACCGGATCTGCTCTAAGCTAGATCCCCAACCTCTGTTCGTGGATTACCAAAGCAGCCTGCCATCTGGCTCTTGGACACTAGTCTTTCGGCTTGTCTACCCTCCAAACCGGTCTTCATACTGTAATCAGAGCTACTTTTCAAAAACATTCCTCTGATTATGTATTTTCCTGCTTCATAGCTTCTAGTACCTCTCCACTGCTTGCTTGCAGCACGGAGGCTAACTCCTTAGCCTAGGCGCTTCATGATGAAGTTCCTGATTAATTTCTCTAGCCTCATCTTTCACCACTTCCTTATCCCCTCACATTCTCGGCCTCAGCTACACTGAGCTGTGGTTTCTCACAACTCTCCTGACAACTAGAGCTACTTAGCACATGGCCTTTCCTCCTACACCCCCTTATGCTTTGCTAACTCCCCTAGCTTAGCTGTGACTCTTCAAAGTAGGTAGGCTACTTTTCCTGCCTGACCAGACCTCTCAACGTCCTGTGCATATGTTTCTACATTTGCCCTCACCTGAAAGTATTAAAACTGACTATTGATTCACTCATTTTCAGCTCCCTTCAAGACACAGAAGATATCCAATTTGTTAGTGGAGCGCCTAAATTTGTTTGTTTTTTTTTTTAAAGAGACAATGAATATGATCCTCATTACATCTTGAAAGGTAGTGAGAGGTTAGTATCATTATTTCTATTTTACATTCTTATTTAGTATCTGTTTATTTTCTGGACATCCTATGGTTTAATTACCTAGACTCTCTGAATTTAAGCCCTGGTCTCCCATTTATTGGGTAGGTTACTGAATCTTTTTGTGTTCCAATGTTCTCATCTTTAAGACAGGAAAATTATAGCACCAACCACATGGAGGTTATGGGGATTAAATGATTTAAAATGTATAAAGTACTTCATTTATTATTATTATTTTTTAATTTTATTTACTTATTTTTAGAGAGGGGGAAGGGAGGGAGAAAGAGAGGAAGAGAAACATCGATATGCAAGAGAAACAGATCAGCTGCCTCTCACACGCCCCTAACCACCCCCAACTTGGAACCTGGCCCACAACACAGTTATGTGCCCTGACTGGGATTCAAACTGGCAACTTTCCTTTTCACAGGGTGATGCCTAACCCACTGAGCCACAACAGTCAGGGCAATGTATAATGTACTTTAAATACTACATAACACAGAGGACATGCTCAATAAATGCAAGCTTTTATTTACAGATAATTCAAGCACTCTAAAAGAGATTCAGTGTCTTAAAACCATGTGTGATAGCAGTAAGCCTAACTCAAGTCTTAGACACCAAATTGTACTTTTTTGGTAGTCCATCTATCAGCAGGTCTTAAATTTAAGTGGGCTGTTATTTCTGCTTTTCCTCTTGGTTGATAAGTCTTACTTCCCTTCTTGCCCTTCTTGTCCCTGCTTGCTCTAAAGACAACTTAGTGCTCACATAAATTGTGGCTTCAAAAAGTTCCTTGTCTATATAAGGCTTTGTAAATGGAATGAGCAAATGAAGGAATCACGGATCTTTCTTTCTTGTGGCTTTGCAGGTGGCTAATCAAAACTCGATCCTGTCTAGGGTGGTTTCCATGACAGTTTTGGGCAATGTAACTGGTCTCACTAGTTTCTAGTACTTTTTGTTCCCATTGGGAAATTTGTACCTTGGTCTACAAAGGCATTACGTTAGAGATGACTACAACACAGGAACTGAACAGAAACCAACAGATTATTGCCACATCTAGGAAAGCATCTGAAAATTCCTTGTGGGAGCCAATGCTGATCTTGTTGGCTTTACTGAACAACCTTATTTCAATCTCTCTTTTGTTGCTAAAAGTTAAAGCCATTTTTAATTTTCCATTTACATTTTTTTACTCTTAATATCTTTTTACTCACTCTCCCCACCTATATTTCCTTTTACTCTTCTGAAAGAGTTCAGGTGAGAAATTTTAAAAAGCTAGTGTTGTCTCTACTATTAGGTTTTAATTCAAAGAATGAGGCAAAGTTTTCCACCTTATATAAATTCATGACTGCTCCATGCAGGACATGAGGGGCTCCTGATTGAGCAGGCAACATCCTGTAGCCTTGACACAGTGGCCTTCGACATCAAGTCTCCGGACCTATCATCGTTCTCTTTTTCCTTGGCTGTATGGGTAGAAGGCAGGAGAAGCAGTGAGAGATTTGGGGGCTGCTGTTCTTCTATTTCAACTCACCCCAAAGAGCAATAATCAGGTGCAATAGCTTCGAGAAAATTTCTTCAGTTTAGCTCTAATTACCAGTGGGATACTGGATTTTATACCATGGTCCTGATAAAATGAAATACCAGAAGAATTTGGATATTATTCAAGCTCTACTTCTTTTTGTGTTGAGAAGTATAAATTCCTAAACTGACAAATATATAAAAGTTTTATTATAATGTTGAAATATTTGCAAAACCAAATTTTGTGCTATTTTTATTCACTCAAAGATTTTAAATGCATTCTGTTATTAGTATCTTTGATAGGGTGAGATTATGTTGCCAGCTGCTTTTTCATTTTTTTTCTTGAGAAGGGCTGTTGTTTATTATAAAAGTGTGCCTTCCTACTTCTTTTTATTTTAAAGAATTCCTTTTATTAAAGAAAATGGGAATGATACTCAATAACATGTACAATCCTTACTTGCTTAAATTTTAGGTTGGCAACACTTATGTTTGTTCTCAAGTTAGGGGAAAATTTTGGTGGTTGGTAAAATTGAAAAGAGGGTAAACCGTTAGTATTAGGGGCCTTGAATGAAGAGTCATTCAGAATTAGATTTCAGTTTCTATAGCTATAGACTGAGTTGGACTATGACCATTAAGGTCTCTTCAAGTTCAAATTTTCTATAACTTTCTGATGCTAAGCAAGGAATCAGCAGAGTTTCATCTGAAGTTTGGTTAGAACCTTTTGAGAAGCCTCTGGACTGAACCTGAGACCAATCGTGCTGTTTGGCCTGAGTTTGGGGAACTGCTAGCTGCTTTCCGAAACCAGCCTTTCTTCTGTAAGACGCCATGTGAATAAAGTTCTAATTAGTTTCACCTCCCCACATTCCCCGTGCTCTCCACATGGGAACACTAGAAAGGTATTTCTCTTAGTGGAAGAGAGAATTCCAGGTATATTCACTGTCAAAGCCCCCATCTCTTTGGTCAGAAACAATCTTAGTTCTACATGATCTACAGCAAAGTGACGGCCTCTCCTCTAATCTCAGGTACCTCAACTGTGCATTCATCTGCTTTCTACCTTTCGTGGTATTAGACTCTAACCTGCAGTCTGAAGAACATAAGTGGGTAGAGTCCAAAAGTTTTGAATATGGTCAGCTTTAGCTACGTCATGGGACATAGCATGGGATACGGGTAGGTTTCTCCATCTCTCAGAGTCTCAGTTTCATTATCTATGCAGTGGAGATAATAATAGTACGTACCTGACAGGATGGTTGTAAAGATTAAAAGAGATAACACATGTAAGTGCAGCGGCCATCTTGGTAAGCACTCATTAAATGCTTTATCCTGTTAATAGCAGACTCACGTGCGTGTTTCTCTTACCTTATTTAGTAGTAACCTTCCTGAGAGAGTGTAACCTTTTTGAGAATATCTGTTGTTAACTCATCTGTGATTTTTCCACTGTTTTGTTAATCTTTCATCCCCAGACCCTGGTATACTTTGGAGAGATTCAATAAATATTTGCTAAATAAGCAAGTAAATGAATTTTGGCTACTCAATTATTATTTTAGTTCAGGGGTGCTCCTATTAAAATTGGATGGCAGAAATGCCCTGGGGGATAATTTTTACTGAGAGTTTTAAAAATGCCCCTTTGCCTCTTTCACAAGAGGGTGACCCTTTTTAGCTTCTTTTCCAATAGCGGAAGAGAGCCCAATGGAATTTTCCAGATTGGGGCTTTAAGTGAGCTACAGATATTTTTATAACATATGATGTTAAAAACAATTATACATGTGCCCAGAAACGTTTTAAAGCATGCATTTCAGCATCCAATTTTATTTGGTTTCAAAAATTTAATAAACAAGTAATACAACTCTGCCATTGTTCTTTAAATAAAAATTAGAGATCTACAATTAACAGCAGCAAAACAGAAACATCAGCTGTACTTAATAGGATGGTGGGGTGTGTTATGCCTCACCAAGGAGCCAGGCAACAAGTGGGCATTGTGTTCAGGTCCCAGAGAAAGTACACAGACATGTGGCTAGATGTCAGACTGTTACATGTCACTGAGCAAGGACCACTGATAGAGGGTGCATGTCACCAACCACCACTTTTTTTCTCTACTGTTGTCTCATGCTGTACATGCTGCAGAAAATTTAAGTGTGATTTGCAAAAAGTGTTAAGGTTCTCATCCCATAAATAATTTAGCAGTTCAGGAAAGGAAGCCAAATGAAATTTTTAAAAATATGTGTCAATAACAGATGTAAACTCAACACTGTGCCTGAGGTTTGTAATACCCTTGGAGACCTGAGCTATATAGCACATCCACGTTCCTAAGATGGTCATCACTGTCACTTCTGTTCGTGTTCATTTTTCTCCTCCCTCCTCCGTGTGGGTTAAGCACGGGGAGCGGTGGGGGTTGCTGCTGCTGCTGCTGCTGCTGCTGTGATGGGGTTAAAGATGAGGTAAGTGTGAGACTGGAAGCCCGACGCAGCTGGCACTTACTGCTCGCTTGGAAGTGAAGAGTTTCTTGACATCGCCTTTGGTGACAAGTCATAGTCACTGTCTGATCTGTAGAGAAAGGACTCTCTGCGTTGGCTGTGCCCAGGAAAGGTGGCGTGAAGGACCAGCCCAGAAGAAGAGCTGGCCTGGGGGTCCAGTGGGCTCCGACCTGGGGAAGGGCCATTTTCCACATCAAAGCTTAAAAAGAAAGCAGAAAACTCTGGTCACGTGAGAAGCATGGAGTGGGGTATCTGACATATGTACAATGCAAACCAATGTGTGTGCCAGGCACTTTACATGAAACTTCACACTGTATGGAAAGTTTTAATACTCCAAACAGCTCTGAGTTGCAGTCATTATTATTCTCACTTTATATGAAGAAAACCGTCCCACAAAAGGTCAGTCATTAGCAAGAAAGTAGAGCCAGGGTTTGATCCCTGGAGCAAAGCCCCATGCATGAGCAACTTTGACAATTTCAAAATAAGAGCCAACCATAAAATAACTTGGTGATAATAAGCAACTCCAGCACTAAAACAGCTCTAGGTGTCAGACTCTGAACCATCATTTGAACGAGTTTTCCTAGCTGGGAGACTTCTTCCTTCCATTAGGAAATATCACAGTGTCATTAAAAAGACAATACACATATTCCTGAATGTTTCAGGAACAAAGTGCTATCTGGAAATCATCCACTGGATTATTGAACAGGGGGGCCCAACCTGAGATTTAATATTCAAATGCAAGTTTAACCACAGAGAATGACTTAATCCGGGAGTGCCAGATAAACCTCTGAAGAAGAATACAGCCACTAGATCCAGTCTAGAGGAGTGCCATTAAGATTTCTGGTTGGTCTCCCTCACTCAGGGAAGGGACCCTTAAGTCCTGGACTAATTGAACAAGATCTGGTAAATAAACGCATGGGAGCAGTAGAGATTTTGTTTCTGGTTTCCGTATCCTGGTATTACCTTAGGCACGGTGTGCCCTTCCCATGCCCTCCATCATCCCTTATACGTTTACCCTGCCTGCACAACTTCCTTTAGCCTGAAAGTGACAGTAACCATCTTGCCTAATATTTCTCGTGGACCACTAACTGCTCCTCAGCTGAAGTTCTGCAGAGATGTGTTGGAGAAGGTATGGGGCTGGGGGTGCTCTCTTTGCCAAGACAGATCCCAATAGTGGGCTTCCTTTATACTCATCCAGCTGCCATAACTTATTTCTAGGTGCATGGTTGTTTTTTTTTCCACTGGTTCTTACAGCCTGCTCTTTTGGGGTTGATTTTGCTTATATGCTTTCTGACTGATTATTCATTCTCTCATCATAACCCTGTAAAAGTAGATCTCACTGTACATTTAAGAGGAAAATGAGGCTTAGAGAGAGGTTAAATACCTGGCACAAAGTCACAACTTGTCACTTACAGAGTGAGAATTGGGACACACAAGTTTCCAACTCATTTCTCTACTTCGATCACAGAGTTCCAGAAAGGCTCGCTGGGTAACAGAGGGCAATTTCCCTTCAGTCTCTGGATTCAAACAAAACTTGTGTTTGGCATGTAAAGAGTCTGTCAGGTTATGAGCAACGTTGGCTGGTATCTTGAGTAAAGACAGAGGAGGCAGCAAATTACCCTGAGGCTCTAGGTTTCATTGAAACAAGAAACCTTTTCATTGAAAGAAGAAATGGCAGGAAGCAGGACTGTTGTGCTTCCCGGGGGAGACCAATTGGAGAAGAGGCTTTAGCCTCCGCACAGACTCCAGGAGTCTGATAAGCAGCAGTAAAGTGAGACTCTGGTTCAAAGGACAAGAAAGAGCCACAACAATCCAATATGTATTTGGACTTTCAAGGGAGTGCAGATGGGCTTTCACAGCAGGTTAAGGGGCTGGGATGGGACTGCCTTTTGCAGACTGCAGGCAAGCAGGCAGGTGGGCAATCGCTCACACACGCCAGCCCGTTTGCCAGCCTGCCTGGAGGCAGGGCTGTGTTGCAAGCCAAGTGAAAATATAATGAAAGCTGACTTGCGAACTTTCCTTGGGTGAGAACTATACTAGTTTTTGAGCAAAATAAAGAGCTCCGTTGTGGATAAGGGCTCCTTTGTGCCACCCAGACCCTGTAGAACCAGTAGATCCTAATGCTGGCTCTAAACTCTTTTGAGGACAAAGATGGAAGGTCCTTTAAAGGTGAGGATGAGAGAGATTGCATTAAGCTTAAGAGTGAGCATGAGCTTTGAAATGTCATGTGTACTGATGTTGTTATTTGTTTGGTATGGATCTGTACAGCCTTTATGGATATGTATTAAAACACATTGAAATACTTTTGCTAACAGTTGGCAGCCAGCCACTCTCCCCGGCCCTCCAAAATCTACTGAACGTCCAGGTGATCTAGTAATTAAAGGTTTGATGTCTGGAACAGCACGGGGGCCTCTACCTTCCGCACTACTTCTGCCTTCAGCCTTTGCCCATTCTATTGGTCAGTGACCGTGAGGTACTGGTCATTGAATAGTATGAACATCGTGACTGTGTATATCTGTGCTAAAATCTTAGAAGAGGGGCCAAGTGGGTATGCCTACCAAACTGAGAATTTTTCCCATTGAGGGTTTCCGCTGGGGCTCACTCTGCCCTCTTTTCTGCCAGAGGCATTCCTCGCGGGCAAGAAAAAAAGTCCACAAGGCATCCTGTCCCCAGGGCTAGTATCAGGAAAGTTTGGTCCTGCCAGGTAAGCAAGGACTAAATCCAGATACCAAAACTCTCTCCAGGCCGTTTTCCTTTTTATTTATTTATTTTTCTTTCTTCTTTACCCTGCCTAAACTCAGAGAGAAGCTCGCTGGAATTCAGAAGAAGCCAAGGAAGAATTCTCTGGTCCAAAGAAGCAGTCTCAGTGAGACAAATAGCCTTTTATATTCCCTGGGGCACTGTTTCAAAGCAACCAACACAGATGTGCAACTTAGGAACAAACATGAATCACCAACCAGACACCAGCCCCAGTCACAGCAAAATTAGTGAGCAGACATCACAATACGTCCCACAGATCCAGGGCAGGAGGAGGGGTGTGGGCAAGGGGAAGGCTGAGGACAGATTTAAGCAAAATGAATATGCCACACAAACCAAAATGCAATTAAAGAAGAAAAGGAGTCTGAAATATTAGAAACAAGCACATAAATAGGGTTATTATTTATTTAGGGTAATGTTTGCCTCTGCCTTAATCAGGACACCCATTTCACCTTGAGGATTCTTTATCTTAAAAATATTATAAAAGTAATGTAACGGTGTTATATAAAGCATAAACAATAGAGAAAAATACCACCTTTATTAGCAATTTAGTATTTTTCCTTCTGAATTTTTCCTTCCAGGTTAGGATCTTGTCTCGCCCCCGACCCCCGCCTCACAAGTGTTTTGCATTGTAGCGCAGTTTCCAGACTTAACTGTTTTCAACACGCTACTTACTGGTTCATACAGACTCTGTACCATCCTTTCTAGAGCATTTTTCCTACTGTTGCCCATCATATTTATGATTTTAAATAACATTACAGTTGATATCTTTGGGCTTATAGCTACTTCAATATTTAGATCTTTAAAAGAGGTCACTCAGATAGATGAAGAAAGGATGTTATTCAAGAGTTTCTGAATTTTTGGCTGTACCTGCCAGGAAGGGGTTGTCCATATCCAGCATATGGACTAAAATAGTATTGAAAGTGGCCTTATTTCTAGGACCACAGACACCCCCATCCCCCCGCCCCCGGCCCAGTCCTGCTCTCTGATGTTCAGAATCCTGTAGCTGCCCTCACACATGGTTCTGCCTGCTTCTTCCTGCTTCAGCTAATTGCCCTGGGCTGATCAGTTGCTTGTTGTCTAAGACCTAATATTTCAACAACTTCCTCCTGCTTTGTACCTAGAGCTCTCAGCTCCTTGGAGGCTGGGATGGTAGTGGGCGATGCTGTGTATGACAAGTGATGCTTTCCATAACTGGAATGTCCTTCTTAACATTGTTTCCCATGTGTCACTGGCTTCAAAGCTCAGCTCACATCACTGCCTCTAGTCAGTTTTCTCTGATAGCGCAGCCTATTTCTGTTTACATACATGCTCCTCCTCTGTGATCTCCTACACTCCCTTCCTACTGTACTTGCTCCTCTCTATTTCATTCTCTAGTTATTTAGCTGTTCCCCAATAGATTCATATCTCTAAGGGAGAAGGGACCCAGGATTACTCACTTTCATATCCCAGGCATCTGAATCAGAGCCTTGTAAATAGTCAGTCTTCAAGAAATGTTGGCAAATCAATTAAAGAATACTACAATTCACCCTGAAATGTTTTCCCTATCTCCTTTCTCTTCCTGTCTCCTTTGTCCTTATCTCAGTTCCCACTGGCACGAGTTTTTGCTTTTCCCTTCAAGTTAGTCTATAGAGATGAGTCATTAACTAATTTGATAAGCTTTGTTAGGCAATTATCTAAAAATAAAGTAAAATAAAATAAAATGAAATACACTACTGTGTTCTTCCCAAACTCATACAGAAAAATCACTGGCTTTATTATTTGAGACAATGATATCTTTACACAAGCCCCCACAGTGGGTGGAAAAAGCTCTCCTATATCAACTTCTGTTTGCTATCTTCTCACCTCTTTCTTTTTACTAAAGGCAGAAGCACTCTCTGCCCCACACTTTCTCTCCTGGTGTCCATTCTCAGGAAGCCGTGCAAAGCCAGCCCTGAACTGGTGCAGGGAGAGAGCCAGCAGGTGGCAGAAGACAGCCACAGCTTCCTCAGGCTGCACCTCCGGTCTCCAATCAGGGCAGGTGGGGCTGCGTGCCAGCTTTGGAGGGAGAAATATGACTGAAGCCTTATTCATAAGCCTGGGAGGAAAAACCAGGGATAAAGAACAGAACCACAAGGTGTACATGAAACCTTTTATTAAGCTAAGAAAGTTCGACTTCCAAGTATTCAAGCTAAGCCAGGTGGTTGCAGAACTGCCTGCAGCTGTCCCCAGGGTGGTAGATTTTTGATCCCCAATTATCTGTGCACGCCCCAATTTCTGTAACAAACCTCATGAAGCAACATCCAAGGAATAATTCACTTCCAAATTAGAGGAGATTTTTCTCTTTCTACTCAGTTTCTCTCTCGGTGAGTCTCTTTGGCTTATTCTAACAGATAGCCCCGCTGAACATGCCGCAGCTCTACAGAGAGGTGTCAACTCACAGGTCGACAGAGGGGCTCACCA